AAGCGATTCGAGAGTTTAACTGTTGTGCACGTCCACCGAACGAGAATTATATTATATTTGAAATGGGAAATTTTAATCGTAATGGACAGTGGTCAATCGAACCTTGCAAACAGACAAAACTCTCTCATTCTACAATATGATGTTCGGTGTCTTTCTATCTCTTTCTATCTGCCACATAGTAAATATGACACATTGATAGGCATTTACTTTGCAATGTAATATCGTAATACTATAATATTGTAATGTCCCGATTTTATATACATATAAAATACATATATGCGGATAAAGAGAGACGGAGACCGACTGAATGAGCGAGCGAGTGAGTGAATAGAGCAAGCACAAAGCGCACACAAGCAATGAGCAAGTAATATAAACAAGGATACACAATGGAATGACATGTATCTGAGTAACGGTGGCCAATGGTTTTTCGTGTGAGTGATTACAGCTTATAACTTACACACAGTGGAAATAAATTCATGCGAAAAATGAAGCTGTTGAGTTTTAGCAAATCGATAACAATGTATGCGTCCCCATGTATCGTTTTCGCCAATGCCATAGCATTGACACACGATGGATCTTTAGGTCGGTGTGTAGCGTGTTAGCGTTCAAGGATTTGTTTTTTGTTTCTTCGTATATATCGTATAGCATATGTCTTATGTCTTTTACCAATGATATTCCTTTCATTGCGTTCGATTTTTCTTCATTATATTATTTTCTTTTCTTTTTGGATTGGGTTTTTCTTCTTCTATTCTTCTTTATTCAATATGAATTTTCTTTACTTGCAAATGGTTCAATCCTTAGTCCATCGAAAAACTTTCAACAGCTTTTGCCATCGAAACGAACCGAAACGAAAACGTTGAAATTTGAGCATGTTCATGCTGTGTGTGTATATATGTATGTGATGGGTCCGAATGGATCTTCTTTTGATGGCATTTTCCGTTTATAGACAATATCGCTAAGGATCTAGTTGCCAAGGCTAATGCGCACATTTTCCCCATCTCATTCTTACATTTGCAAAATCGCGCGCGCTATAGCCCAAAAACATCTCTCCACTCTCTTGGTGTGTCGAACCACGGGCACAATATAAAGTACGGAAAATACATCACATAATATATATACAAACACCATACAATCTTCTTCGTCGTACTGTCAAAACCGAAGAGACTGTGAAAATCACCAATCCACTTGCCAGAAAGCGATTCCATCAACATTACGGCCCGAGAAGAAATGTGAATGCTGCTGCATGGGTATATAACAATAATAGCGAGCATAAAACCCGTTTACCAATGGCCAAGGAATGCCAATGAAAAGAAACACAAAACGGACCAAAAGAATCCACAAAAAGGAATCAACCAAACCAACAGAGAAAAAAAAACCATAGACACACACATCGCATATACACATGATATACAAGACTATAAGTGGGATAGAGACAGAGAGAAGCTTATTCTTATGCTTATACCATGGCTCATTCTTGGTGCGTTACACAAAAATGTATTTCCTTCTCTATTGCCGTATTTTTTTTATTGCACGTATTTTTCAACTTATCTTCGGCGTCTGTATTCGATGCGCTTGGTATATATCTATATGACGTGTGTGTGTACTTTTCACTCAAAGTTACCGAAAAATTATATGTGCAAAAGGAGCGCACTAAACGAGAGAAAAAAAGAGTACACAAAATGCCAAAAAGGAATCACTTGATCGCATAAAGTGAAAAGTATTTGCCTCTCGTCGTTTCTCGCTCTTATTCTCCCACTCTCTCGATGCATGTCAAGCACTGAAGTTGCGTGTATGGATATCGTGGCGGCTACTGCCGCTTTTTTCCTCTCCGGTGTCACATTTTTTTTGTTATTCGCTTCAAATGGCAAATGGAACAAACAGGACACAGTACATCACGTACACAAGACAGTGACTGCGATCTACGCCGCAGTTAGTACATAGTGGCGAAGAGTTTTCAAAAACTCATTGCTCGTTTGGTCTCACTCACTCTATCTCATCGTATAAATGTTGTCGGTGCGCTACAAAAAGTATTTACAAATGAATGTAAAAATGGTTTTTAATTCGCAGAAAAACGAACCGAAAAAAAAGTACACAAGAGAGGGATTGAAAAAAAAAAATAACCATCATAAAGAAAACTGTATCGAACTGACACAAAAAAAATAGGGGATCGATCCTTAGCGCTGACGCGCGGCCATAGAAATAGAGAAAAGACGACAACGAAGACGACAACAACACAGTGCAGACAATATAACATGTTCGATGAAGATGATGAGGACGAAGATGATGAGAAGGGAGTGGAAAAACACATGGAGAAATTAGCTTGATGTTTGGCAACGAAAACGATAAATAATATCAAAATAGAAAAAGAAACTGTACTTGAGTGAAAATGAAAGAAGAAAAAAAAAACGCACACGAAAAGAATTGAAAAGAAAGGAAAGAATGAAAGGAAAAAGGACATACCATAAACGCACCATCATATTGTGCAAGTGTATACGCTTCGTTGTGTTCTTTACCTAAAGATGTTCTCCCGCTCATCATCATCATCATAGTGTTTCGCTTACGACATAACCGAGGAACTTTTGAGTGCACAGCATCTCGGGTTCTTTGGATTTCGTTCGTTTTTTTTTCTTCCTTTCATTCGTTCGCCCATACATTCGTATTACTTACGTATTCCTTTATATCTACTACAACAACAACAACCGTTCTCTTTATCTTTTCCTTGCGCCTTGTTTTGCTTTCTTTTTAAATTAACACATTCGAACTGCACACAACGAGCATGGATGGATGGATGGTGGCATTTTCTTCATCGTCTATGCGTTTGTATGGGAGTATGAGTGTATAATATTTTTTTTTGTATTCGTTTCTTATTTTTTGGATTTTGTTCAGCTTCCTTTTCGGCTTTAGCATCATTATTAATTTTCATTAGAAGTGGAATTTTTCCCTTTGCTTAGCCTTTTCATTCTCTCTCTCTCGCCAGCAATACATCTCGTCTTACAATGTATATAATGCGGCGATTCGGCATTCATAGGGTCGTACTCTTTTCGGGGGTTTCTTTTTAGCTGTGTATTTTTCGTTACAGTAACAGTTTTTATTCAAATTTCCTTTTTGTGTATGTGTATGTATCTCTCTGTGCGTGTATATCTGGCCGATAAAAAGTGGTTTGAATGTGTCATTACTGTAATCAGCTACTGTCTTTCATTTAGGTTGATACGCTACCGTCACTAAACTATGCTACAGCATGAATCAATCATTTTTTGCTAATGATAATAATTGCAGCAGGAATCCGGGTAAATTGCATTTAATAAATGTTGCACATATTTATGTGATCATATTCCACCGGTGGAACGAGAGAGTGGATGGCGTGCAATCAGTATATGAAAGGTATGTGCTGTTGTTGATGCTGCTGTAACTCCATTGTAAATTTTGAAAATCGTTGCTTAATGTGTGCAAATCCTTTCTAGGATAATCGCACAGCTATTTACTCATATACAAAGCAATTAATTTATTAATATATTTGATGCATATAAAAAATAATTAATATGGCATAACATATTCAAATACCCACGGATGCACACACACACACACACTCGCACATACACGTACGTGCACACATGTTGTTTAAGTTTTGCAACATTGTTTAAAATATAAATGCCATTATCTTGTCCGAAGCTGTGATGCTCATATATCAACACCCTCTTAGTGATGAGCGCACGTATTTGCTCTCACACCATTTCGGCCCTACTTTATATTCAACAACTATACATAGTAAAATGCCAATACCATCAACTCCATCCAAATGCATCGGACCGAGAGTGAATGGGAGGACTGGCGAGCGCGCGCTTGTTCGTTCGCTCGCACATTAGATTCAAATGTAAATGCTCATTAAATTATTATTATTATCGTCCAACATACGCATTTCATTCCAATGCAATTTTGCATAAAACACAAACAGATAAAGCGAGCGTGAGATAGAGAGAGAGTGAATGAGAGTCCAAGCATGTAATAACAGGGGGTGTTAAAGAGAGATGGAAAAACTATTAATTCAAAATTCTGGTCAAATGCATTCTCACATACATTTAAATATAATGCAGTCAAAACACACACTTTACACCATATATACAAAGTGTGTAAACAGGCATGAATGCCTGACAGACCACAAACAATGAATACACCTCATCGTTCATCGCTGCTCGATATATGTGAGCTCATTCTCATTCACTCTCGCTCATAATGTGTGTCGCTGTTATAATTTGGCCCCGTGTTCACTTTCTCACTCTACCCGCCGCACGGGCAACTCTCAAACGGTAGATCAATTGCTCATTACAATGCGTTCATGAAATCGTTTTGTTTGGTCATCTCCTCTATTTACAAGTTTGTTGTTTTTTTTTATTGTGAAATGCCGCAGGTCACTGCGTTATTATGCGCTCATTATATGGAGAAGAAATAGAAGTACAAAAAAATATAGATAGACAAGTAGTTTGTTTCATTTTGTTTAAATTACCCTCCTTATGCGAGTCAATCTAATTCAAATGCCACCTGATTGACATTGTTCGATGTGAGGCCCTCAACAACAATAACAAAACGAAAGAAATGAACAAATAGGTTGCATGTCAACCTCAAAAATGTGGATATATATATATTTTTCTCTTGAGCATCGGCTTTGAAACATGCAAAAAGACACACAAATACCTTTCAACACACATTCTCACCGCACATTGTTTTCGATTTATTGTTCAAAGAAGTGTATTGTACTCAAACAACGATTAACTAAACCTTAATTTATCATCGAATCCTTCATTCCACAAAGCTTTTGCAATGCGATCAACAAGTAAATGCATGCATTTTGTATTTTCAATTTTAAGAACGAGATTTTGCCGGTAAATATTTCCCAATATATTTTAAACATTACGCATAAATGCCAGTAATCGTTCCATCAATTGACATGAAGTTGAATGCATTTCCAACGTAGTATCATTTTCCACCGTACAAAAATTCAATTTGACACAATTCGGTGTGGAGCTCACACACGACCGTCGATTCGTTCATTTCATCGCCGCATTCAACAGAAGACACACGTGTTTATCGAAAACTCGTGGACAAACTGATCACACAAATTAAGGTAATTTTTGTGCTTTTTTCTTAAACTATAATCGATTGATTTTCTGATGACAAAAATAACATATTTTTTTTATGAAAATCATTTATGATTAAACATGTTATGCACCACCATCTGAGTTTTTTTTTTTAATCTTTTTTTTTGTGTTTGTGAAAGTTTGAATAATCGAAAACTTAATTTTTTGTTTGATTCTCTCATTAATCTTACCATCTGGTTAGATAATGTCGAAGAAATTAATTATGTTGGACGAATTTGGATGGTCACCAAGGAAAATTTCGAACAGATGAGCTGAAATTCATCGCTGAAAATGTACATGTGAAACATGCATTGGTTCAATGAATCCTAACCTTAACACACCATGTGCTGTTGACACCGCAATCAGTTGAAGGTAATTCAAGTCTTTTGTTTTATTTTCTCAAGAGAATTTTAGTTTGTTTTGAGAATTATTCTGATCATTTTGTGAAATTTATGAGATCTTGTGATTTCGTTTTTTTTTTTTGCCTTGACCGGTGGCAAGAGCTATTTGTTATTCAATAATAGTAGGCTCTAATCAATTGAGGCTAGAATAAAGACCAAACTCTTTATAACGCCGTACTTGGCTATGTTCCTAATCCAATGAATATAGCGAAGTCCCATTTTAATATCGAGTTACACTTAAATCGCTTTTTTTATGTTGATGAAACACAGCGAAAAAAGACATGTTGACTAATTCATTTTGGTTTTTGTTTCAGATGGTTACCGGTTTGACTCTCTCGCATCAAAATTGCCGCATACGGGCGGAAGCATAAATTGATTAAAGCGTATTTTGACGTTGAATAAATTGAAAACCTTAAATGGGCACAAATAAATACATTGAAAATTAAAACGAATCGCTCTCTTTTATTTCTATTATTGATTGAGTGATTTTTTTTTGAGATTTTAGATATTTATTAACGAAGAAAAAGTACGAATTAAAATGTGAGTAAAACTTTCGATCTTCGGTTGGGCAGATAGGTTGAATATATTTCAGCTTCATCTTTTGCGAGTACGAATGATATGCCGAACCATAGATATGGAAATGAAAATTCGCCAATATGCAAACGCTTCTTCTACCCATTGATACATTGATAAGAAACCCTAGAGTCTGCTCAACATGCACTGTCGCCGCTTTTTTTAATAACCAGCCCGAAATCATTTGAACAAATTTCTTCATTTTTTTTTCAATGATAAAAAAAAGGAAATACTGAAAAAAACCTAACCGCAAATTTCGAATTGTTTCACATTTCACGTGGTCCGTTTTGTCGATGTAAGTATGAAACCACCAGAAAGCGATGATAGTTCAGCTGTCAGATGTGACAGATTATTTTACATAGCAAAACATTGCGACGAAAAAAAAGTCGCGTAATAAAAATCGAAATTGTACAATGTTTTTTCGCCTTGATCATTAAATTTCGTATAGTTTATTGAGTGAATTAATTTAACTGTGTCAGAAAAATGTTGAGAAATTTCATAAAAATTCCATCGCAGACTGGTATCTTGCGCCAAATTCCACGAAAAATTAGGTAAGATTAACAATCAATATTGATTCATATGTGTTCTAATTCCATGAGAATTTTGTTTTTCGGCAGTACATTGCAGAAAATTAGTAATTCTAGCAGGAATGATGCAGTATTAAATGCAACATCCGGACATCTCTTGGCAAACAGAGCCACAGCAGTGACAATACAATCGTATCGTACAATGTTTATTCAAACTCAGGAGACACCGAATCCGGATTCCTTAAAATTTGTACCGGGCGTTGAAGTATTGGGAAAAGGCAGTACGATGGACTTTCCGAGCCTAGAGAGTGCACATTCAAGTCCATTGGGTAAGGAATTGACCATTTCCAGTTGAATTTTGATTCAAATTGATCTTATCAATTGGTTTTTATTGCAACAGCCAAGCTGCTATTCCGCATCGAAGGAGTGCGTGGTGTATTTTTTGGAAATGACTTCATTACAGTGTCCAAACAAGAAGAAACTGAATGGGGTTTATTAAAACCAGAAATATTTGCGGTCATCATGGATTTCTTTGCCAGCGGATTACCAATCGTGCACGAAAAAACAAACAACGAATCGCGTAAGTAACAAAAGAAAATCAAATCTTTTATTCGGTCACTAATGATGGATCGCATGTTTTTTTATCTACTTAGAAATTAATGAAGACGACGATGAAACGGTTATGATGATCAAAGAGCTATTAGACACACGCATTCGACCGACCGTACAAGAGGATGGCGGCGATATTACATTCATTTCGTTTAAAGACGGTATTGTTTCATTAAGAATGCAGGTGATTATCGCATCTATTTTTGGCTTTATGATTTACATAGCTACTATTGTGTAAATTCGATTCTGTCTATTTCTAAACCGATTTCCTTGTTCTTTCTTTGGTGATTGCTTTTCCTGTTTTTATTTTCATTTGTCACATCGTTAAATTCAATTGTCTTCATAAAATTTGAATTTATTTACTATAGGGTTCGTGCACATCGTGCCCCAGTTCGATCGTTACATTAAAAAACGGTGTCCAAAATATGCTGCAATTTTATATCCCAGAAGTTGTGAGTGTAGAGCAAGTGTTTGACGAATCGGACAAAATGTCACAAAAAGAGTTTACAAAATTGGAAGAGAAAATTATGACAAAACCAAAAGCCGCAACGGATGAAAATGAGGCAAAATAGAATTAAAAATATCGAATGAAATTTACCCTATGAATATGTAAATAGCTTGTTAATCGAAAGATAAAGAAAAAAAAACGCGCTTAATTCAAGGCTGCAGAAATGAATAATTTGCTTTTTTATTTCTATTTATTTCCTGAATTTAAGCAGTAACTTTGTCAATTGTTTAATAAATAGGTACTTCATGCAGCTGCTTCAACTTATGGACACCTTTGAAGCGTGGCTTAAAAATTGTCTTAATTTATACTAATATCACGTATTTTGCGTGCGATTCCAAAGCAGAAAAAGTTTATTTACATTTATTCATGATGTCGTTTCTATCCAAAATGAAAGCTGCTGTATCTATCTTTAGACAGAAATGATCGCATATGTTTGAAATGCGTGTGTTTCAATCATATTTTGACGATTTACCAAATTTGTTAGGCTGAAGCAAGGGTTCGTTGAATGGTTTTGCAAACTATCGAATTTCACATTGGCAGATCGATATGTCGACCTTAAAATTCGCACGTTCAAGTATTTCAAATGTTTGTTCGATTATTTAGTGGTTGAAAATGTTGAGTTATTTCACTCTTTTATAATAAATCCAAGTTTGATTGGCTTTGCTCAGGTGTTTTTTTTTTAAATGGTTGAGATCTCAAGTCCAAGCGGAATATTCCCAGAGAGAGAGTGACGGAGAAATGAGAGAAATTGATATGCAATCAAAGACATAAAATCTTGTTTTAATTTACATAAAATTATATAGTCTTTTATAAAAAATCGTCGCGAAAAAGGAGAAAAGAATTTAAAACAAAGTGAGAAATAAAAATGCTTAAGAAAACATATATTTATGGCTTTTAATGGAAAAAATATTTTTTTGCCCTCTTCTTCAGACTTACTAGACTGTTTTTTGATGCCAAAATTGCGTTTTAAAGAAACCGGTTTCAGACCTTCAACTCTATAATGGGTGTGTAATAAATTGTCATTCGCCAAAAATGTGTCTTCAGCGAAAAAAAAAATTGTGTCTGATTAGGGTGTTGACAAATTCAAGTAGCCAAATATTTACCTTTTAGCTGTAACATTGAAAATTTCAGACATTAAAATAAGAACAACGACTCTCTAATTAGTTCATCAGCGATATTAGATTGACGAAATTTTATTGCAGACTACTGTCGCCCACAGTGCGAAGAAAGAAACAAAAAGAAAAGACGGTAAATGAATAATTGGTGTAGAATTCACAGTTGCTTATGGTGTACAAAATTTTGCGAACGCAGCCAACAATAAAGACTGAGTTAGTCTTTGATCAGCTGTTTAGTGTATAAATATTTAATAATGTTCGATGTGGAAATAAAGACACAGACATGCTCCAGCTGACAAAACCAAGAACAAAACGACCACAAATTACGTTTTATTACTTTTTTTTATTCAAATGCAATAATTCAATTGTTATCGCATTAATTTCTGCTGGTGAAGAAAAATGAACTACAGTCTCGATGCACTACAATATTTCTCCATGCATGACACAATGGTGCTCAAATAATTTCCGAAAAAGAAAAGAATCAATTAAATATATATATATATAATAATAATCAGTTGAACCGTAAATTTTGAGTTGATTCGAGTATATAAACCGAATGATAAGGAGTAATGTGACTGAATGATAAGAAAGTGACAAAATAAATCACATTCAAATCTGCGATTTTGACATTTTTATTTCATTTTAAAGGTCACATGCAATTTTCTTCGTCAATGGCATACATATCACACATTCACACGATACGGCACAAATAAAAGAGCAAACAAAATAGTACGCAAAATAAAAATGACGTTAGAAATTAGGATTTTATACGACGCTAAGAGCTGATAGCATATATACTGTTGAACAATCTACGCAATTCAGTTTCGATTTTACATAACAAGACAAGAGAATGCGTGAATATCTTTGAGACAAACAAGAAATCATCTTTGACAAATTCAAAATATCGAATGATCCCAACCGCTTTATTTCTTCACGATTCTATTTTTGATCTCAACTTAATTGTTTGCTGCGACGAATAATAAGAAGAAAAAACATGCCCTGTCATATTTTGATGTCAAACTGGCCATGACTTTGATCTCAACAATATATTCTAGAGGCATACGCATTGTCTAGAGAAAAAAAAGTAATTTTGCAACTTTGAGATTTCAGGTTTGATATTCGAAACCATATGTTATGTTTTTTTCCTACTCGTGCCGAAGTAAATCATGCAGCAGTTTTTGCTCATTAGTTTTGAAAAAAAAAAAAAAACAAATTGATTGCACACAAAAAAGCGAGCTAAAATAAGATTAGCAACGTCTTTCAAACGCTATCACTCTGTTGCAATGAACAACTTTATCAATTGCGTTAATTTCGTTTGTCGGCATATAGCTTTCGCGTTTTGAAATTGCACTGAGAGAAGAAAATGAAGAAATGAAAAACTCTACACAAATCATCTCGTCCGTCCGTTTCTTCTATCGTGATTCGAACCTATCTCATTTAACTACAACACCGTCGAATCGAATGACTCTGGTTGAATGCAAAGTTTGTATTGCAAACACACAAAATAAAAACCGGTGTGTGATGTTTTCGTGAAAGTTGCACGCACGAATCAATGCACAACAATCGGGCTATTTTGATAGTTGTTTATGCAACTTTTACTGAAAATGAAGTTTTGATTTATAGCACAATCACAGTTTTGGATTACACTCATTTCACGGCTATTCGAGCCTCATTTCGCATGCTCACCGCTAATTTATAACATATCCACGCATATTTCCACTGTGGTTTGTATATAGTGACCATTAAAGAGAGAGAGAAAAATAGAAAAAAAAATACTAACAATAATAAAAAACAACCATTTCCTCGTCTTGCTGTCTATTTAGATTCGCGCGTATACCATTGCATACCTCAATAACAACAAAAACAACGCCTCTTCAAACCAAGCAAACCTAATGATGTGTCATGCCTTAGTTTTTTTCGTGTTGTTGTTGCATTGTTTGCACATTAAGTAGACGTTTCTGTAAATTTGTTTCGTAATCGACGAAGGGGCCAGTATATACAAGCATTTCGTCAATTCTGTTTGACTTCAGTTATTGATCAAGACTTGAACTGCAATCGATACGCAAAACGATAATATGACATGGGTTGCGTGAACTTCTTCTTATTTTTGAAGCATCATTCCATAAAATCTCCATACAAAAAACAGCTGTTCGACATGATCGACCGAAAAACCTGATTTAAAATTTCGATTTTTTTTTTCACTCGATTTTAAATTCTTTGGGTTTTTGTTTCGTAGCATCGGTATATGATATCCATTTTTCATGAAACGTTAATGTAAAAATACAGTGAATTCTTTGTAGTAGTACAGATATGTACCATTCGTCCAACCTAGGGCGAGGGGGGTAATACATTTGCATGCGTAAATGCGCGAGGAATTCAAAATTATATGGGCTAGAAGTGAATCTTGTGTACCAAGTGGGTTCAACCTGGTCTAAAGTGTTCTAGATGGTGAGAACATATTTGATTGGCTGCGAATAAAAGTGGAAATAGTCGATTTCAAATGTTCTCGATCTCTTAATAAGAGAGAATGTTTGAGGTCTATACCATTGCGAACGAAAAGTTTATTTCCACTTATGTTCTGAAGCACTCAACATTTAGTACACACTCCAAAAGTTAAACAGTCGTAAAACACAAGAAATAAATCCAGACCAAAGCCGATGAAAACAATGGAAAGTTTGCAAAAAAAAATAATAAAAGAAAGAAACAAAACAACAACAGAGTCCAGGTTTGTATAACTCAAAAGGTGGATTTGCAAAAATGCTCTGCAAAATAGTTGCGGATAGGAGATCGAAAAAGGGAAAATCTCTGTACGAAAAAGGGAAAATCGTTTTGCACAAAGAGCCAAATGGATGGAAGGTATGGTAAAATTCAAAAATGTAATAATAGATTGGTCATTTTTTGTTTGATGCATCATATTGAAGTGGCGGCATTAAAAAAGTATCCGTATACTTACTTAGCACCACTTTCTGTGCCAATTTTCAGTATAGAATCATCGGAATTTATATTCAATTGAAAATTTAAAATTATTTTCATTTCTCACAATCATTCCATATCGGAATAGCAGGGGATTTTCATATTTTGTTTTTTTTTACTGTATTTCGAATTGCAGCAAATTGAATTGATAATCAATTGCTTCTTGTTTAAGTTCACTTAAAAAATTAACGCGCTGTACAAAAATAGACCACTAAAAAAGATTAACTAACTTCAATGGAAATCTCACAATGTTGAGCAAATTATATGATTCTCCGAAGAATTCTATTGTTTTGTAAAAATGGAAAAATTCCCCTTGTGGGAGAGAGAGAGAGAAAGAGGAAGAGCTAGAGAGAACGAAAGAAAGAATGCATACATAAAAATTGGAAACAAAGAATAAATGCGATCCCTTCCTTTTAGTCTATTGTATTTCAAGTCTCTGAATTTTGGTTCTGTTTGTCTGAAGGTCAAATTCTGATCATTTAGTTAGTCTTCACTCATCATTCAAACTGAAAGAACGCACATCGACTAGAAAAAAAAAGTTATCCAGAACTTTACTGTAATATTTAAATAATATTTTTTGTTATAAGTCAGAGAATTGTGTTAGTTGGTTTTCGAATTAATCACCAAGCAACTGAATTTTCAATTGAAAATGTCTTCAAAAATCTGGTAATACAATATTTTTGACTAAAATTTGAATTTTCTGTAGAAAACTCAAACCAATCTCAAGTGTTTCACACAAAAAAAACTGCAAATCTGTTTTTCATTAAAATCCTTATTATTTCAGTAAACTGTTGCTGCTAGCATCGATTTTCTCTTTCATTCCATCGTTGACATCATTTCACATTCGCGTTTATTTCCATGATAGACGTTCTTCCTCCATAGACGGAAAAAATATCTGTAAATGCAAAAATTTAACAAATGTGTATGCTGCAAACAGTTCTATAGAGTTATTACCGAGTCGTTTCTTAGCTAATTGTCATAGTTTGGAATATTTGGTTCTATCGAATAACAAACTTACAGAAATCCCATATGACGCATTCTATAATTTATCTAATTTATATAGCTTAGATTTATCAGTAAATCAACTCACCACTTTACCTAGAGACGTTTTCAAACCATTAACTAATTTAATGTCCTTAATATTGACTGAAAATCGAATTGAAATAATTGATTCAAATATGTTTTTTCATAATCAAAATTTTGGTCATTTAAACATACATTCAAATAACCTGAGAACTATTGAACCCAAATCATTTATACGTACGTTTAAAAGATTATCAAACTCTTTGAATCTGGCCAATAATCGTAATTTAAATAGTGATGATTTTTTTCATGAAATCGATAATTTTGAAGCAATAAATGTGGCAAATTGTGGATTTAAAGAACTTTTTATCCCAAGGAATGTTGACCAAATTAATGCAATTGGCAATGATATATCTTATATCACGGCTCATCCCAATAGTACATTGCGATCCTTGTTTTTATCACATAATAGCTTTACCAATCTCTCACGTATTCCATCATTAGTTAACTTACAATCCTTGCTAATTGGCAATGGCATTGATCATATTAATTTTTTTGATCTTTCCCATTTAAAAAAATTAAAGTATCTGCTTATTGAATTGAATCCAAAACAGAATATTAGCGTTGCTGAAATAAAGAAAAGTTTACCATCTTTTAGAAAACTGTACATAACATCTCCTGATTTAAGTATCGAAAAGCAAAAACGGATTTTAAATGATTTTAAAGAACACAAATTAAATATTTCCATTAATGGTAAAGAATACCCTTGGGAACGGGAACAAAAAGAGGTTAGCTCATACATAAGACATACTTGTCACGAATATTTTGTTTGAATACAATTTTGTTTTTGTTTTTTTAGAAATTTTTAAACATACTACGTTGCTTTAAGACATAATATAAATATAAATTTAACGAACGATATATAGGGAGATATTTTGCACTTTAATTCGGTCTAAAATCGTTACTTGTTTTAGTTAATTGAAAGTGTGTATAGAATTGTATTTAATTAATTTGCCAATTTAAAGAGAGATAGAGAAGAAGAAAAAGAAACACGAAAATAGTCGTATAAAGTTTTGAAATTCGACACCAAAATGGTAAGTATTCACATTGCACAATACATTTGTTTGATTTTTCCTTCTGATTTTTTATATTGTTGATTTACTTTACTTTCATATTAATGAAGAATTATCATTTCGAAGCTTTATTTAATGAAAATTATTTCCTTTTTTTTCAGATCTTCGCAATTTTTGTGTGTACTTTAATTATGCTGCTTAAATATAGCAGTGCAGTTATATTATCGCATCCACGCCTAGGATTAAGAGAACTGTGGGATGCAAACCTCCGAGAGCATTTCGAAACAATGGATGTAGGAGAGGCCCACAAAATACTGCAAGGTGATTTTAAATTTTGTGCACAAACGTAGCAAGCGTTATACATCTATTCGGAAGAGATAAGGTTGACAGTTGGTACTGTTACGAGCAATATTTCGATGCTATTGAAGCCATAACACTATTTAATAAGACTGGAACTATATTCCACGAAGCAAGTAGATATAGAAAAGACCATCCTAGTTGTTGGATTTACATGAAACATCCAATAGTTTGCCGTATATTCGACATGGAACCTGGCGGCTCACAAATTATTTGTATACAGCACTTCGTCGATCATAACTCCGAAATTGATCAGAGAATAGTATCAGTCCGGTTTTTATTCGGTGAAAGATTAAGGACACCGGTAAAAAAAGTACACTCTTCTCGATATGTTGATGGTTTGTTTTCTTTATAAATTTATTTTTTTTATGTAATTTTAAAATCGATTTTTTAGTTTCAAAAATCTTTATTTACTTCAGTCAAAATCAAATCTGATTCAAATGTTTTTTGTCGTTTCGGTTCTATTCCAATAAAAAAATTTAATGTTTCCATAGATTTTGTTTCATTTCACGCTTAATATTGTTTAGCAAAAGATGATATTCATTCGTTTCAACTGTGTCGCCAATCAATGCCTTTTAGCGCTGTTGAATCTGCGAAATTGACTCATAATTCATATTGTTTGTGTACAGTAGACTGTCATCATAGCAGAACCCAAACGCTCTACTTCGAAAGTATACCCTCTTGTGGCTTTGAATTATAAAATAATGTACCCTCTGGGGTACAATTGATACACAAAATAAATTCGAGTGTAGCACACAGTTAAATAATATTTGATGGAAATTGGTCTAACTGATTTTTTGTGCCTTTTTTTGCATTGTAGCGAATCAATTTATTTCGGTAATTCCATTTTCGACCTAACAGCGCGCATCATCTCAGAAAAAAATCATACACACGAAAGAACGATATTAAAGAAATTAGTCAAATAGAAATAGAATGTCAAATATATAAATAGGGAGAGAATTGAGCAGCCCTTTTCAAGTGCGCTTTTATATTTGATGTCACGCCCGTTGTTCTTTCATATTTTTTTCCGCTAGGAAATTGAGCAATTCATTTCAGTTTTCTTAGCGCATCGACAATTTACTCTCTTCTCATAAGTAAAAGAAATGAAAAGAAGCACGAAAAAAGCTGTGATACACGACATTGCACTGCATTTATTTGATTGTCGTCTCAAGAAATGCGACGAAGAAAGAAAAAAACCACTTCAAACATTGTTTCGAGACGCACCGGGATATTTTTTTCTTCTTTTAATTCCTTCATCGTGGGTATGGAAAAGTGAATTCTTTTCACAAACAAAGTTCTATGGTTTGATATTCAGACATTTTATCTGTGTTAGAGCTACTGTGCGGTTGTTGTTGATGTGTCCGCGCGATTGTATCATCACACTTTTGAGCGAAAACAAATGTGGACTATCAAAAATATTACAATTTGACAGCTAAATGGTGTTTATGGTGCGCGCAAAAAAGGGCCAACAAACAAAACCACACGGAGGAAGTCGAAAATGCCCGAGAAAGTGAGCAGTTGAGTTCATCGAGCCGAACAAATTAACCGTTTCAACGTTGATCTAGAAAAACAACAACGTTCAGTTTTTTTTATTGTTCTTGTTGTTGACTTGAATGTCATGTACAAATAACGATTTCTTATTTCACGTCAAACAATGAAGTCATTTAAATTTTGGATATCATTATTGATACGTTTTTCAAATTAAAAAAAAACTATTATCAATTGAACTTGATCATTCAGCGCAATTACTTTAACAACAATTATTATAGTTGACACAACAAAGAATGTTTTTCAGTTTGAAAAATACCTTTTCTACACGTTGAATTTTTATAAAATGATCGACGTGTCGATTGACATTGAATTCAATTTTTTTTGTGTTTTGAAAATCTATATTCGATGAATTTTTCACGTTTGTCAAGGAACTCTGATAATTCGTCAATTAATGATCAATTCACAAGCATTTTAAAAATATCGAATTCCAGTTTCAAACTTACCGGTATTTTTCATTCATCGAATATGGATAGATTTGAAGGAGAAAGAGTTGATTTTTTCGATAAAATGCGTCGATAATGAATTTTTTTCTTTAAAAAAGAAAACGTAAACGATGTGTCACCGTTCATTGAGAACAATGAAACTACCAATACCTTACCCAAATAGAACACGTTGCGTTGTTTTTATCATTTCGTAATTCACATTCTTGTCATTCTTCGATCCACACATTACAAATGTGTGTGAAAATAAAGTTGATAAATTTCCATGACGCTTCAAAATGTAGACCAAATTTTTTTTATTATTACTGTTTGTTTTGGTTTATTTTTTCATTATAAAGAAAGTTTATTGGCGTACAATCGTACAAATATCGAACAACTGGGTCATTGAGCTGAAGAAATAAAATTTCAAAAACAATTGAAACAAGCAGTAGAAAAACCGTTTGAAAGAAAGAAAAACCGTAATTTTGAAAGTAGCATACAGAAGTTGCCAGATCTGTTAAAATATAGAACATTTTATATGACTTTGAATTCATTTTTTGCCAATCTGTTTGTTGGTGGGCTGATTATTTTGTAAATTGAAAGGTCAGACACAAATCAAAACAAAAAAAAATTAAAAATTATGGTGTAATCGGTCATCAACTTGACTATACATTGAAATGTAGCGCCACTACATCTGACATAATTTGGTGCTATCAGTGCGAATTGATAATATAGGAATTTTTTATTCTTGATACGTTCTTTGTGTAAACCGAAAAGAAACGACACAAACTGATTATATTATCTCTTAGATTTGATGTCCACATCATGGTTTTGAGCATGGCAAAAAAACCATACAAACCATGTCATACAAGAGCAGTATGTTAATTTCAATGGGACATGCCACAATTATTATTATTGTATGTTTGAACATGAAATTTTCATAATGACCGAACAGAACGGTGGAAAAATGGAGATTAATAATAATGTTATAGCTCGAATTGTTCTTTTGTTCATCAGATAGCGTTCTAATCGTAATTATATATTCAAGGCCAACGTAAATGGGTTAGCGATAGCGGGTTTGAGCTTCTGTACACACCAATTTAATGAATGCGATAGCGAAGGTGGACATAAAAACAATTGTGTGTGTGTGTATGCGAAGGGTGTCGTGGATCCAAGATTAAAACAAAACAGCCAATGAGTTGTGGTTTTTTGTTACTGCTATCGATACCATTAAATTTATCAGTCCATCAAATCAATAATATTAAAATCGAAAGGTAAAATTCGTTATCTATCACCGTTTATTATCATTTTGGCACTTATAAATGTCCACAATGTCAAATAAATTTCATGTTCAAAACAAATGGACAATAAATACTAGTTCATTTCTAATGGATTTGTTGAATGTAAAATGATCCAAATCGCATTAGCCCATGTTTATTATTATATAGTATAGTTTATTGATGGATTTGAAGGTATACATGGCGCAATGAATATAAAAAAAATAATAATACGGAATAAAAACATTAACTCATTTTTTCAGGTTCAAATGTACCGAAAATTGGCGACTACGACAACAACCACATCGTCGATTATCTATCATTTTTTTTCTTTGTTATTGTTCGTTCAATCGTCATTCTGCTCTAGCATACATAATCGTTTATGTAACCGATAAATACTAGGATTTCAGACAATTTCCTCTTTAACTGACATTGTCTCTATGACGCAAATGACAGCGCGTCATTTCACCTTACCTATACGAAATGACTTCCCATCTGAAAGTTTAAAAACAACAACTGCTCTATAGCTATTTTAATCTTGATTCGTTCAAAAAAAAAATTGTCATGAATAGCTTTCATCGCAAGCGACCGAAACACATCGATAGAGTAAAAACGAAAGAAAAGAGCGCTCGTTTTGGTGAGAGAGATGTCAAATGCAAACCCTTGCACCTAGGGGATAACCGTGAATTGCAGATCGAATAATTTATAATAATAAACGCTATTTCTCTCTAGTTTTCACTAATTCTGCTAGTATTTCTACTAGTTTGTTCTAATACTGCTATTTTTTGCTAATTTTTCTAGTACGTCAAAAATATCGCATTCGTCAGATTGACAGCATGATCGAATAACTGAAATGTGTTTACGTAAATGTTTCAAGTTGACACTTTCAACGTGTATATTTGAAGCAGGCACTAGCGTATACGTTTTCAGTAAGAAATCTGTCATCAAATCTACATTTCCGATTGCAATTCGTAAATTGTAGTTAATACAGATGAAACGTGCTTGGTTACGTGCCATTGAATATATTTTTATTTAAAAATGAGAAAAAGCGTATTTAACTACATATTTTGATACATTTTGGTTCAACACTATTCAATTCATTTGTTTTGTGAATTTTATTTTAATTAATTATTTCAATATATTCAAGAATAAATGCTTACTAAAGTATATACGTGTACAGTGCTAATTCTGCTATTTATTGCTAATTTTGCTATTTTCTTCATGTAAATTTCCCTATTTTTCTGCTAATGTGCTAATTCTAATTCGCATGGATATCCCCTAGCCTTGCACACGGATCGCGTGTCGTAAGAAAGAAAGAAAGTATTTTCACATTTAGCGATATATCATTTCAATACATACCTCGCAGCACAGTCATAGCGAATGGCATCAGCCAAGCGTGGCTGCCAGTCTCTTTACCGCTGAAAGTGCACTTATGTCTATACAAGTGAAATAAAATGAAACATACAAATGACTTTTTTTATCTTCAAAATTACTGTTGTTGATTTTTTATTATTATTATGAATAATCGGTTTTTGCTTTTTGTGTTTTTGTTGCTTGTATAAAGTTTTATGAAAATAATAATCAAAATCTTTTCTCACAAAGATAGAAAGAAATATTTTACAATTATTAGTTATCTAGGTGGCTGTTGAAAATATAAAATTCCAAACGGATACCTAATTCATTCATCTCATTTACTGTTACCAAAACACTTAATATTCGTCTATTTAAATGATATTATTATTGTTGTATTCAGTACAAATGGTTTTTTTTCTTTAATTTCAACTCTTTTTTAGAACACCAATAAAAAGAAAAGAAAAGAAACAAAATCATTTGTAATCTTTCACATCATTTACAGTTCGTGCAATTTGAAACATACACTGTTTGCTACTATTTTGCTACTGAGTGAAAGTATAGCAACCAAGACAAAATATAGAAAATGGTTTATGTTTGCGTTACACTTTTGCAAAATCTTACAATTAAAAAAAGTTTTCTCGAATATTATTACAAATTTTAAATAAAAAAAAATGGTTTGAATATAGTTATCAAATTTATTTCTATGTTTTTTTAGTTTTAAATGTAAATCACACCGACTGTGTTAAACCTTTTGTAATTCCTAAAACTGATTTGTTTTTCATTGTTGGTTTTTTTCTTCTTCAATTTGTATCGATGCAATCATTAAAAGGAATGTTTGTCACGAAGAAAAGTGTATTGTATATATAGTATCTAGATAGTATATCGTATATTTATTGAGTTGTTTAAGTACAAAGTATGAGAACGTTGGTCACTTGCAAAATATTCAATATAATCGCATGCATTTTTAATTTTCCTTCATCATAATCGAAATCTCTCTCTCTGTGTGTATATGTGCTCATTCACCGTGCTCTGATGGTATAAAAGAAACAAAAAATGATCTCTTTTACTGCCGTCGAACACGTTTTCACTTTATGGGTAAAATAATAATTACGCTACGTTGACAATGTGCCAGCTTTGTTTACAGTATTCGGCTTTCAGTATAAAACTAGTGAAAGGAGGTGATGAAAAAAGATAAACGACGAATGAGGTGAAATTAAAAGAGAAAAAAATAATAATCATAATAAAACATACACACACATCAATTATTAAAACAAAAAATTACGACAAAAAAATTGAAATTACTTTTCAGATCATTAAAATTGAGATTAAAATTCATTATGCGGATACATCGAGCATATTTCACAATTGTGGCATTTATTTCGTACAAAAATGTGTGTTGCACAAAAGCTGCTCTCAGAGGCTCAACATTGTTGCTCTCTCTGCTTACATTCAGTGTTTTAAAGAAGGATCAAAAAAAAAATAATCGTAAAAAAATGTGTGAAAATTGTATGTTTTATCAAATCTCTCAATAAAATCCAGTTTCAAAAAAAAAATTATGTACAGTCAAAAATCACAGCGCATTCGTTGTTTATTTATATCAAAATAAAATAAATTAAAAAAAAATTCCTAATCGCTATTCTTTAAAAAAAAAAAACATCACTATTTATACTCAAGTCATTGTTCTAATACAGCTCGGAAATCTTTGCGTACACGCCACAGCATAAGCTCGAGACAGGCTCGACTGTCTTCGAAGCTACTGTGACCTTGGTCCGAGTCTTGAATGGACCGGTTCAAATATTTCGATGTTAGAAAACGTAACGAATGCTTAAAACCTGGCCCATTCTCATGTGGAAAACACACTGACGTATCGATCACATTATCATGAATGATTTTCAATACCCTGAGATCATTTTCAAGTGCATGGCCAATTAGAATTGTCTCGGCATTGATAAAGCACAATAAATCTTGTTGCACTTCGGGCAATGTAGCCACATGAATGTTATTTTTCGTGGCCAAATCTTTTTTGGTAATGCCCGAAAAGCGAGTATTGTAGCATACAATTTTTGTTGCCGGACGAACGAATTTCTCATAAACTTTTTGTCCGTCCGAACTGACCAACGTTACTTTGGTAACTTCTAGACCTTTTCCGGTATAACACATTTCACAGTCGAGTGCGAATACATTACGTTCGTTATCAATTTTCTGGCTACTTTCGTCGGTGCGTACAAAGCCATCGAGTGGCCCATTGAAGCCCATTTCAAAGCCGCTCCATACATGACCATCGGCCATTGTGCATCCTTTTGTATATTTTGGTGAGCTACAACATGTATATGTACCACCCATCGTATATGAGTTTGGTCGTTCCAATTTACCCCAATGAAATGTACACTTTTCATCTTTCATATATTCACCGTGTTCGTTTACATGAAATTCACGTGTGCATCGTATGCATTTCTTTTCGGTGCGTTCATTGTATTTCATTTCGCCGGCATTATCGCTTGAATCACTATCGGTCGATGGTGATGATGATGATGATGATGATGACGATGATGAACTGGAACCGGTCGCCTGACCGCTGTCCGATGATAATTTTCGTTCAACAGTGCGTCGCTTGTGGCTCGGTATAAATTCACGAGCATTCACATCAAATGCAATTGTCGGTACGGGCGGTGTACAATAGTCAACGCTTGCACTGAAACGTTTCTTAAAGAATCCAGCCTTTTGTCCGTAGCGATAGGGATAACCCTGGGCTTTTAAATCATTGCTACTCAATAGATAGTGTTTTAAAAATTGAAATAATTTCTCTTCCGGCAAATTGAGTTTGATATGCTCACGGAGCGGTGGTGTTATTGCACGGCAACGATTGAATTCGGTCATGAAGCGATCGGTGAATAGATGCTTTGAACCGTCGTCTAATTTTGTTGAATTTGTTGTTGTTGTTGTTATTGTTGTTGTTAATGTTGTTGATAGACAATTGTTTTCTTTATTGTCTTCGTTGCCATTGGCGGAAACGGTGGTGACGACCGCAGCTGTTGTGATCTTTTTGCATCCACCACGGTGCCGAACTGTCGACTTCTTTTTATGCTTGCGCCGAATTTTTGGCGAACTTTCACTTTCACTTGTGTTCACATCATCCACGACACCGGGGTCTTCGTCGTAATTGTTGGTTACATTAGCCGCATCTACAATTCAAATGAAAGAAAAATGGAAAAGAAAAGAAAAATAAACATCAAATTGAATATTGTTTTAGATTGAGTCAAGACATACTATAAATATAAAAAGTTCATTGTTGTTAATGTTTTTTTTGTCATCGATTTTTTCGAATGGTTAAATTCCACGGATGGAAGTGATTTGGGTCGCGCTCCAATATAATTGCGCTCGGTTTCGAAAGTGCGAGCTAACGATAAAATTGCACAGCAATTACGAACATATACATATAATCATTATTATTAGCCGAAAACGATATTTTATTTATTTATATATCGTTTTGGTTTCGTTTGAGAATCGATAATAAAATGAAATACAGTTTTGGTCGTCAAACATTACATAAAGACGAATGTCACACTTAGTCGATTGACTGTAAATGTGGCTATACTCGTAAATGAAACACACTATCTCGTATATTGTTTCATTCATTAGAAACAGGCACGAGGCAAAGTGTTTGGTGTGCAAAGCACTTAGTAAAAATGGCAAGACTCGATCATATATTTTTGCATTTGTTATTTTTAGGATGAAATAAATATTTTTATGAGATGCCATATTTATTCATAAGCTACAAATTTGTTTTCTCTTCTTCGGTCGTCATTTTTCTGACTAAAATAGAATGCAAATGAAAATGAGTCATCATTTTGACGACACTGTAAAATCATTATTATTGCTATGCAAACAAACGGTATGATGTGTTGTGTTGTTTTAGTAATTCTCCACGATGGTATTCTACTTCTCGTTTTCTCAATTAATTGTTCTGAATACATGTTCACTTTTCCAAAGCATTTGTCAATTTCAATTTTTTTTTTTCATTTCGTTCTTTCCCACCATAAAACAGTCTACGAACTATTTTTAAAGTCCAGTCGGTATTTTTAATAAAAATATTTCGCAGTAACCGTTACACATAGAAAAATGAAATTGTTTTATTATTTACCTCCAGAACATGTGGCTAAGTCTTCGTTACTGGAAAACTCGTCGCGTCCATTTTGCTTGGACCATTTGTTGGCGGTTACACTAGGCGAGTGTTTTTTTCGCGGTGATTTAGTCTGAGCGGTCGATCGTGGTGATGATGATGTCGAAACGGCTTTTGTGGCGTTTTCCGATGTAAAATGCGCCAAAACCTCTGCTTTCCTATCTTCCATTAGATCTGGAAAAAACACAAGATTAAAAGTTGTGGTTATCGTTTTTTTTTTTTCATATTTTTTATAAATGTGTAGGCATGCATCTTTTTTTCTATTTCTTTCTACTCTTAAAATTTCAAACTCTAAATAAATTTAGTTTCTTGGCACGGAAGTGGGTTTTTTCTCTATTCCAACGGATGTATTCGACATGATTTTGAAAGATCGCTCTATCATCATCATCGTTTTTGAATTGCAAAGGGTTTTTTTCTCAACTGCTCTTTGGTCAGAAGAATGTAACATTATTCAAATGAGAATTTCATTTATGCAAAATAAATTGGTTGAACACACTATTTTGTTGTTGTTGGTTTGATCGTTATATTTCGCAAATACTTTTTTCCCTTCGTCTCTTGATTACATTGTACTATATGTCTGAATAGCGAATCACGGGGGCAAAAGCACTGCGATTTGGTCGCCAGACAAAAAAAGAGAGAATTAAAAAAATACCAATTAGATGTTACGACACGCTCAAGCAAGACCAGTCACAGACTCTCTCACAGCCATTGAATTGAGCAAGGGACAAGAAATGTATGTGTGCAAAACACACAGTGTGATACATACTGTGTATGGAGCCGTATGTCCAATCATCATCTTAGTGAAACTTAAATTACATCTAATGGATTGGAATCAAACGTAACACGATTGCCACTGTTGTTGCGGCAGAGCAGCAGCGACACGAAAAAAAAAGTCCAACATCATGGCGTTTAATTTTCGGCAAAGTGAGAAGAGAGCAAAAAAAAACCTAACGCACAAACACAGTTGTTGTTATGATATAATGAACGTGTAAAAGCCGGCCGAATGAATATTTCAAGTGGCGTCTTGTCGATTTGAAAATCTGATTGAGGCACGAACACTGCTTTATGCAACCATTGCAAAGTATATATGAAACATTTCGATCGTTATTCATCGTATTTTGCAGTGATGCGAATGTGGGTTGCTGACTGAGGTCTCTTTTCGCTTCTTTTTCGTATGTACTCTTTTTTTTGCGTCTATGTGTATCGCGCAATAAATGAAATCACGTAAGTATAGTTGTGATTCCGTGTGACGAAAATTGCGTTAAATTGAACTGTCGGTCGGATGATTTGGTTAACAAAAATTATGACCTTGTCCTTCTAATTTATAACTTTTATGCGATTTTCGACTTATCTGTTATGGCAATTATAAACCGAAAAAAAAAAATATGGATGCAGTTCGGCGCCACCGCTACACAATTAAAATGGTTGTACTGTATTTGCGGAAAGTCACCGCCAATTTTTGCGTCGAAAATTATATATGTTGTTATCTTAAATCGAGTGTGAAAAACAATAACAACATCAAAAATGGTACGAGACGAGTCTTTTGTTTAACAAAAACATTGTAATGTAATTGTTTTTAAATATTTTTATGACGTTGGACAGCATTATCAAAACGATCAAATGACAAGTCAGTGTTTTTATTATTACATTAACAAAAATATCGCACGGTGTCGATGTCATCGTCATTGAGACGAAATTGCCGAAAAAATTACTCTTGATTGTCAACACACTAAAATTGGCAAATAAACTTTAATGATGATGTGTGTGCGCAAAAATAGACAACATGCATGCATTTCTGTACACCCGATCGATGGCAGAGAAAGAAAGAAAAGTCACATGCGTTTAAAATGAGGCGGAAAATGTTTAATTTTATAAATTCAATTTGCTGTACGGTGTAAACGGATAGCGAAGAGAGTCATAATTTGTCTTATCGGGTAACAATAACATTCATTTCATGTTTTGCCAACAATGTATTGAAGACGAACGACGTACAGTGAGTGTGAGTGAGTGAATCTCAACGCGATAACCTTGTCGAAATATAAAAGAGTAATTAACAATTACTTATGATGCGCTTTGTTAAGCACATTTGTTTTTGTTCGGAGGCGCGTGAAAACGGCCACAAAACAGAAGAGAGCAAAAAATGAAGAAGAAGAAACCGAAAAAGTGAAAATGACGAGAATCCGGATGAGTGGATTGAACTCCGGATTCGCATAACTCATGTGTGAATCTCTTTGGGTGTGAACAATAATAAAAAAACAGCACACAGATTTAAATTGAAACGAAACAATAAATGATGATATTTTATTTCGTTAAAACATGAAATTAAGCTTCCTTCATTGATTGTATTCCATTCGATACACGATTGTTGCGATTTTTTCTGTGCATATATGTGGGTTTGGTTTCAATTTTCGATTTCCGTATGAAGAAAAAAAATAAGTGCAGAACAAAGCAATGGTTTCGTGTAACGTGAAATGAATGCGAAATGGGCTTTTGTCTGCATGTTTGTGTGTGTGTCGGCTAAGAACCATTCTAAGTTCTTATTGTTCAAGCATGTTTTTTGTTGATGTCAACTGAATACCATGATTGCGGAAGTTTTTTTTTTTGTTCGTTCGTTTGTTGTTATATTTCGCGCTATCCCCGAGGCCATTACGGTATACACTTACTACCAGCATACACACATAGCATTCCAAACGTGAGATAGCGATGAATTTTCATATCACTATGAGGAAATCTGACTAATGACGATGACGTCGATCATTATTACATCGTAATTAATGCGTTAGAATGAGTACGCGAATTATATGAATTTCATTTTTTAATCATATATATACAAACGAAACGAATAACAATAATAACAAGATTAAATAAAATAAAATAAATATTACGTGCGCACGTGAATTTATAAATGAACGTTTCGTACCCCGAAGACAAATGGAGATTATTAAGTAGTTAGAAGAGCGAAAAAAACTACACGAACAAACGAGTAAACGAAAACGTGAAGAGATCGATGGAAGAGAGAACACTTGAAAAATAAAAATTGATGTTGTTCAGTCAAATGGCCATTTGATTGGATATATGCAACAATGTTGTTGTGATGTTGCGGCAAATTTAATGGTTGACTCTTTGTTTGACCCACTATAAAATTAGCTGAACGTGATTTTGCAATATAATTGCTTTGATGGCAGAAAACACACACCGAGAGGGACAGAGAGAGACAGAAAGAGAAACATTTAATTTAACTAATGGCACTTGGCAACAACAAAACATGAAGACGATCAAATACAGCTTATTCAGCCAAATATTTGCCAATGAAATGTGAGCGAAATCATATTTACGTGAAACATAAAAAAAAACGTTATGTACATGGACAACATTATTTTAATAAAAATTATTCAAATATATGCTTTGTCTTTTTCACTGTTTTTCACAAAGCAAAGAAAAAAGTTGTATAGTACATGTTATGTGTGTGTGTGTGTTTCATGTAGTGTTCATCGTTATCTCTCGTTTCAATTTGTGACAAAAATTTCACGTCATTTCTTGGTAAAAAAAGTACACTTTGGATTTTGTTGCTTACTTAGATTTCATCTGTGCGGAAAACAGCACACCGAAGCGAAACACTTACGATGTACTTGACGACAACTTGTATAAATCATAACATTGCTAATGACATACACACCGACAGCAAAAAAAACAACAACATCAACAACATTCATAACAAAAAATAGTAAATAATGAAGAAGACAACATTTGTGCGGAAAAAACTGAACTCTAATAAAAAAATAGCCGTGTGATAGGACGCATATTCATATCGGTAATAACTCGTTAATTTTCGAAATTTCACGTATCGAACCAAACACACAGAGATAACAAACATCTTTATAAATGTCCGTAAATCGTACACGCATCATTCGCTTTTTTTCGATGTTGTGTTTTGTGCTCTCATTTACGATGTGTATATGCACGAGAAAGAAAACACCGATCAAAATTAGAGCCGACACTCGTTCGGAGTGTCAACTGAATGCGGGCCGATAATCGTATCATTTGTCAGCTGTACAGCTACAAGCAAAACACTCATGTGCTCAGTTATACGTTTGACACACAGCCTACTTTTAATCACATGGATCATTCAAAGGTGCATGATACACTGTGTATTATAATTGTTGAGTGGAAAATTTATGACGCAAAAGAACCGTTTAAAAAAAAAATATAAATGCCCAAACTATACTTGATGTTTATCTTCGAATTATTTATTATTATTATTTTTTTCGGCTAAATGTGACGAAAAGCAGTGCCAGTTTTCATCACGATTATAGTATTTTAAAAGAATCATGTTACTTTTTCACTTGAAATAAATTGACACTTGTACCGATGTACATCGATGAACGTGTCGTTAGTAGCAACAAATGGAATTCGATTTTTTTATTCGAATTGATATAAAAGCTATTATAGTATTATGTAGTAACAACGTGACATCGTGACGTATTATAATTGTCCGATTTGGTGTTATTTATCGTTTGATAACAATCGCACAACAGAATTAAAAAAGAAAACACGTCATCTATACATTGAAAAAACACCACACTTGGAGATTATTTTTGGTGTGATAAATGATTGATTGACCATTTTGGGTTTTTGTGTTGTATTTATCATTATGCCCAATTTTCCATGGAAACCATAATTTTCCGAACACTTAAACAATGAATTGAAATACACAAAAACGTTTTCGATATGAATCGATCAAACTTTGATTATTACAATTCTTTAAACGAATAAAATGATTCAATCGGTATTTCTCGTATTTTTTTTTATTCATTCATAATCGCGCGCGTCATAAATGATTCAATATTACTAGTTTTGGTGCTGATGCATACAAACAGATGTTATGCTATGTTGAAATTTTTTTTGACTCACATCGGTTATGATTCAATTTTTTGTGGTTTAATTCAAATTGGTTTTTTGCTTTATTATTGTTGAATTTTCACTCCTCCGCAGTTGGCCTTTATAAAATTCATTGACTTATTTTTTTCTTCTATGAGACATGCGAAAGTGTATACATTCCGAAAATAAAATTGAAGACTAGCCCAACACAAATCGATTTTGACTCGAATCAATACCAAACACTAATTGCTCTGCCTACTTTCAGACATAACATTTTTAAATTTACGGCCGTACAAGAGAATCAATGTCAACGCATGTTGGAATTCAAATTTACAGCTAGTATACAATCGACATACACACACACATGAAAGAGAAAAATACAAATGCGTGAAAGTTCTGTGATCGAAAGCGATTGTGTTCATTCGATTTGTCATCCGTAAGTTTGGTGAATTCTTTCCGAGTAAATGGATATTGGTGTGACGGATATTGTTCAATTTACTTTTAAAAAAATGTCCAGAAAAAAGTTCCATTTCAGCGAATATTTACCAACCAAAATTCCCATCGGAATGAACTTCTTTTGTTTTATAATAATTTGTCAGTTCGCATTGAGATGCGTTGGTGATCGGACGTGTTTGTTCTTTTGCTCTCAGTGCTTTATAATATAATTCGTGTGTATTCACTTGTTTCTTTTTGCTTATTGTTTTTCGTAAACAACCATGACAGACACTAGCGACGGTGAATCATCTTTGGTGCTTGCACCACGTCGTTTTGCAAACATAAAGGAACCAAATTTTTTCAAAAAAATATCGGAAACCATGGCATTTCACAAATTATGCTATAATTTGAATAATGATATGGCTACTGACAGTGCCATTTCGGAATTACGATCCAACGTGAATACCGATTCATTCAAAAGTGTTTTATTTATTCCAAAGAAAACATCCATTGAAACCAATATTACGGATAATAATACAACAAAGGTGGTGTCATTCTACTTCAAATTTAAAAACGATTCACATTCGGTTGGTCTCAAAGTTTCTCCATCTTCAGTGAAGGGGTACTCCAATGATTACATCAAATTATTTTTGAACGAAAACACTAAAAATGTCTCAACCGACAATGAAAACCCACTTGATCATGATCAAGACGTAATTGGAAACTTGACTCTAGAACAAAAAATTGACAGATTAACTGTTCAGGTGTCAAATTTAACATCTCTTCTATTGGAAGAAAAACAAAAAAACATCGAATTGATGGATAAAATTCGTGAATACGAATTAAAACATACGGTGAAACCCACAAAAAAGAGAAAAATTAACAGAATTCTGGGCGGCACAAAAAAGTCAGCACGCTTGGAAGAAAAACAAAACACAACAATTGTCATCGATAGTGATGCTATGTCGGGCGTCTCGGATGGTGAAGAAAATAATAATGCCGGATACGAAACCGATATGGAATCAATGACGAAGAATAAACAAACAACTCAAACCAATACGGGTCAACATAAACATGTGCCTGAGCTGAATTCTCAAAAATCGTCTGCTGCTAAACCAACAACAAAACGAGAAAAAAATGTGCCACCGATTATTGTTTTCGATTCTGATCAAAAACGTATGAGTGAGCGCTTTATGAATCGCAACATTTGTGCAGTTACTGATTATCACTTTGTGCGAGTGAATAAGAGCAAATATCGCATTCAAGTCAATACACTTGAACAATACGATGCGACATTAAATATGTTAAACGATATTGGTATTAAATACCATACATACACACCGCCGGAACGCAAACTTATCCATGTTTTGATAAAACATATTCCATCGTGTTATGACGAGAGTGAAATTTTACACCACTTAAAAGAGGACTTTGGTTTAATTCCAAATCGCCTTACAAAATTCACAACGAAACATATGCTCGCAAACAATATTCAATCTGAAATTTGGCATGCGTCATTCGATCCGAAAACTGATAAAAAAAAGATCTTTGGTATCAATCGCATTGGAAATTTCTTTGGTATATCAATCGAACAATTGAAAAATAAAACACTAACACAATGCCGCCGTTGTTGGCGTTTTGAACACACCCAATCCAACTGTACGTATGACGCACGCTGCAGTAAGTGTTTATCAAATCATGATGTCGGTGGATGTGCACTTGATTCAAATGCTTCGCTCAAACCTTCTTGTGTGAACTGTAAGAGTTTATCGCATTCAGCAACATCAAGAGATTGTCCGGTTTTTCAACGTATATTTGAACGTAAAAATACACCGGGAAATAAAGCAACAAAAAATACTCAACCGAGTACAACGACAAATACTCCACACAACATTTCAAATAATACTTTTGCAAACACTGTTCGTGGAAATAATAAACAAACCGGTGAAAATAAACAAACTTCATCGAATTCTGATATCGTTAACATTCTTAAACAAATGGCTATTCAACAAAAGCAAATGAGTGAATTGCTTGTGAAACTCGCGCCGCAGCTGGTATTTAAAACATCGAAATGAACTTTGACGGCTTGAAAATCAAATGTTTCGAATTGAATGCAAATTCTCTTCGAAGTAAATCGAAACAACATGAATTACTTGAGTTTATTGAGGATCATGATCCAGATATTCTGCTATTAATTGAAACAAAACTCAAACCATCAATACGTATTGCAATCAAAAATTATAATATGTTTCGTAATGACCGTGTAAATGAACAGGGTGGAGGTACAGCGATACTAATTAAATCAAAATTTGTGTGTACACATTTACAAAACATTTCATCAGTGCATGGTATCGAATACACTGCAGTTAGGGTGACAATTCAGACGGATAAATTTTTATTTTTTGCTGCAATTTATAAAAAGCCTAGTATCCAAATTGACACAAACGAATTGTCATTATTAATTAATTCATTCAACGGCATACCATTCATATTGACTGGCGATTTCAACTGTAAACACACCTCTTGGGGCAACATTAACAACAACGCAGACGGAAATCGTCTTTATAATTGGCTATGTGATTCCATCGATTTACACAGTATCAAACTATTGTTTCCTGATGGCAGTACTTGTATTCGTGCAAATTCTGAATCGATTTTAGATCTTTTTATCATTGATGATGGCATTGAAGTGGAGTTTGATTCTACATTTAACAAACTAACAACACATGATTTTGATTCTGATCACAGAGCGGTTGCTCTCACAATTATTATCAACAACAAATTGAAGCATGCAAAAACCAAAACAATTCTTGATTGGAACAGGGCTGATTTTGAGAAAATGAGTGAATACATTGATTCAAAACTTGATGAACTTTATTTACCAATTTCAACCAACATTGAAAATGACCAAATAGATGCAGCTATTTTACAATTAAATAATTTTTTTGAATCAGCAATACATAAGTTTATTCCAACCATTAAGATAAATCCAAATACTTTGATCAATTTGTCAGACAAA